TCGTCGGTACTATTATACATACCTCGAATTGGAGTTAACCCCGCTCTACATACCCAGTTAGTGAAGCATAAAGAACTATCTCGGGATTATTCTACTACATACTACCACGAACCACCCATTAAATTCTACTTTGAATCAGAATCTCAGCCCAAATTCTTCAAAGCTCGTCCAGTCCCCTATGCACTTGCAGCGGAGGTCGACGAGGAGTTAGATCGCCTACACAAAGCGGACATTATTGAGCCTGCACATTATTCAGAATGGGCAGCCCCAATAATCCCAGTTCTTCAAGCCGATGGTTCCGTGTGCATTTCTGGTGACTAAAAGCTCAATATCAACGCAGCAACAAAACTAAACTATCATTCGCTCCCGTGGATCGAGGACATTTATGAATCCCTTTCAGGTGGTCAGCGATTTACAACTTTGGACTTGAATCATGCCTACAACCAAGTCATCCTAAATACGGAACCCCGAGACGCCACCCTCATCAATAAACACCGGGATTTGTTTCGATACAAAAGACTATCCTTTGGAAATTGTTGCTGAAACTGGTCGGACGTCGAACAAAGTGCCTTTGAACAGGCAAAGGTGGCCCCTACCTCACCCTCTCCCCGGATTCATCACGACCTAGAAAAGCTGATACTAAAGAAATGCATTGCGTCCCCGTACGGCCTGGGTTCAGTTCTCAGGGACTGAATGTCTTCTGGTCATTGACGGAAATCAAACTGTTCGCAGCCAGCCGAGGAGTATGTTTGTAGTGGTCTCTGCAGTCCGATGCCCTCCATTGCTTTGTCTGGTGTCCTTGTTCAAGGCCAGCTGCCTCAAGGTCATGCAATATCTCAGTCAGCGCTAACAGACGCGCCGACCTACAGAGCCTTGACCTTCTTCCACTCGGACACACACACACGTGTGTCCAGGTTCTTGCCGCTGCCCAAGAACCATTCGAACAGGTCCCTTTTTCCCCACCCTCGGCCGCCAGGCATCACTTGGGACCACGGCGCTCCAGCAGAATGACGTTTGCTCCGAAGTCCAACTTCTTTCCATCTATTCTCCGTTCCCTTGTGTACACAATAAACTATTCCTACTATTTTGGCCTCCACTGACTTCTCCTCTACTAAGTAACCATAGTCTGAAGGTCGCAGTCGCGAGAGTTTAACTTACTTAACCCCCTGCGATACGTTTCCCATCTTTCTACCACCCATGCCAGCACTAGCGTACGGACTAAGGAGCCACCAAAAATCCCCTGTTTCCTGATGCTGTCCATTTGAGAGTGGAGGAATTCTGTGTA